CCTTTCGAATCTAAATATCATCTCAATGTCACATATCGCGTAGCACGTCACGGTGGTGCCGCTGGCGCTAGTTTGCTCGTGCCATAACCGCATCGAAACAAAACAAGTACAAGTATCAAACAAGTATGAGCGTGCAAATATACACGTGTTATTTGATTTATTTTATTATAATTATTCCAAAGATCTGTATCCGAACGTTCTGGAATCTATCACTTTTACTATTTCATTTCAATTTCGTTTTTTATTTTATTTACCAGTCTACATGCTGCAATTCATCACGAAGTAAGTGGCAATAATGCAAATGTATAGTGTAGTTATTGGGTGCTTTCCATTTGATAATACAAGTCGACAAGTATCATTCTATCGTTGTCACTTTCTAAATGTCAAGAAGGATAGAACGACGCTTGTGTCGACTTGTGTCAACTTGTGTAGTTGTGCCATCAAATGGAAAGCATGCATTGTTGTCAGATTAAATTTTCACTATTTTCAGTCCTTATAGTTTACACCGACTTTTTTCATTGTTATATATATATATATATGTATATATACTCATAACAACTAGCAACTTTCTATTAATTTAATACACATTAAATTGTAATTTAGCGAGATGTTACGGTGTGCCCAAAATCCATAAAATTGGCAATCCTTTACGTATCATTGTAAGTTGCATTGACTGTCCTCTTTATAAATTATCCTCTTATATTAAAGAAATAATCAACAAAAGTGTTAGTAAACATTTTAGTCACATCAAAAATAGCTATGATTTGGCGCAGAAAATAAATGGTAAAAGTTTAAATGACAATTATAAAATTCTGTCCTTCGATATCGAAAATATGTACACAAACATTCCAGAAAAATTAATATTAACTAGTATTAACAATAGATGGTCAGATATCTCAAAAAATACTAATATTCCTATAAATGAATTCATGAGTGCAATTTCCTTGATATTCAATTCAACATTTTTTAAATTTGATAACCTTTTTTATAAACTAAGTTTTTGGATTGCCAATGGGCTCACCGCTCTCTCCAATCTTGGTTGATCTCGTAATACAAGATCTCGAGACAGACATTTTAAGTCGTTTAAATGTTCCTGTACCCATTTATTGCAGATATGTAGATGACATTTTGCTTGCCTTGCCTTTCGATAAAATTGAAACAGTTTTAGAACTCTTTAATAGTTATCACAATCGCATTAATTTTACTCTTGATAAAGGTTCGAATAATTCTGTAAGTTTTTTAGATGTCAAGGTCATGATTAAGGATGGTTGTATCAGATTTAATAATTACAAAAAAATGACCAATTCCGGTCGTTATCTAAATTTTATATCATCTCATCCAGACCAACAAAAAAGAGGTATTATTATTAGTTTGTTGGACCGAATAATTTTTTTGGCTTATCCTGATTACCAAGAACAAAATATTATAGAACTTGTTGATGTTCTACTTAATAATGGTTATCCGTTGAATGTGATTTTTTCTA